ACTTTGTCCCTTTGTGTATAAAAAGGAAAACAAAATAATATAAAACATGTTTTGATTCATTTGCAGTAACTAATAGGCTTTTTTCACTGCAGATAGTTTGACACGTTGCTGCAGGAAAAGCACAGGTGTAACTAAATACATTAATAGTTCAGTTCTATTAAGTGTCCCAGTAGTAAGCATGCGTTATATCAGGACGCTGGAACAGGCACAGCTAAATGGAATAGTCATTTATACTATTATTAACTAAACCTGCTCTTTCCCGCTATGTCCTGTCAAAGTATCTACAATGAAAAAAGCCTTGTCTGTGTTATTTAGACAAAAGTGCTCTCTGAAGACTAAAAGGCTTGAAGAAACCGCACAAAAAGCTGAGACGTTGAGTTTTTGTTACTTACCAATACACCAAAATCTGACGTATGAAGTGTTCTTGGAGCTATTTTAGGTGAACACCTAGATATAGAAAGTTAGAGAAAAGAATGACGATGACTCATCCGAGATGTCAAACTAACTTCTGGAGGTTTGGTTGAATTTTGCCCAGCCCAGCAAAGCTCAGCAGTAAGGTCTGGCAACCTAAAAATCACCTTTTCACCCTTATTTATTTGTTGATGTGCATGTATGAAAGACAGTAGTCAGTAGCAGTGTCACACTGGGGTTGAATGGACAGAAAGTCTAGACTATTGACAGAGTGTCTGTCTGATTGGAGCAGAGTCTAATTGGATGTCAAGCTGCTTAAATGTGTTTGCTGTTGTACACAGATCAGACTCTATGGGGACAGGAGTGATAGAAATCATTTTTCACACTGGTGTTTATTTCATTACCACAGCCTAATGGCTCAGCAAATCGTCTTTGGTGGTACTGTTGGAGGAAGGGGTTATTGTGTTGGGTGAAATTATGACCATTTTCCTCGAGGAGAAATTACTTAATGTGAGGCTAACGTTTCACATGAGACAGCCCAGCTATTTTCAGTGTGCTGTGGACGTGGTGCAACTGTCAGTTTGACTGTAAATCCATGGCCTTTGTCATTTAAGTCAGGAGGAAAACAGTAACTGAAGGAGCACCAATAATGTAAGAGTTATTCCCTACACAAGGTTACATGCTTTAAAAGGGTCCAATTCTCTAAAAGAGGATCAAGGGAGGTCAAATATTGCAGTTTTACCTTTTAGTGAAAATACAAATGTCAGCTTCACTTCAGGGTCACATATTTGAATCTGACTCAGGTTGCTTTTAAATGTTTTGAAACCAAGGTTTGCCACATATTGGGCCACAATGGAGGCTTGTTAAAACAGAAAAGGGAAAGAAATCACTTCTGCCTCTCACCAGTGGCCGATTTCTACACCACTAGTCAACGTCTCAATTATGAAATGTTCCACAGTAAGAAAGAAAGAAGTCCCAGTTGTTCCAGTGTTAGATATCACCATCCATCTCCGTTGCGTATTGCACAGGCCTACCCAGAGCATCACACCACAGCTGTCTGTCAGCCAAGCAGAAACACTAAACAAACACAGAATAATGGCCAGACCGCTGGGGATTCAAAAGAGACAGTGTATAAAAAAAAAAAAAACCAGAGAGGAAAGAAGAAAGTGTGTGAAAGAGCAAGACGGGAGATGACAGATACTGGCTGGCAAAGTAAATACATGTCCCACCTTGCAATACCCTCACATTTTCCATCTCTTATGCTCAGTAAGTTCTGGTATTCAGTACCTGAAGGACATTTTGGATATGCAGTATGTGTTAATCAGTGCAGCTCACATTTGAGACTCACATTCTTTCAGGTAAAGAAGACTAAGACTTCTAGGAGGATAGGAGCCTTATTAAGTGGTTCAGTGAGGTGGAGTGGTTATTTGACCGTTGTTTGTTAGGGGGAGATGACTCGTTACCCTGCAGGTCTGAAGTCTGATCTGCATGACAGGTTCCAGATGGACTAGCAACATCTCAGTCCAATTTAGGAAAACATACATGGGATAAGTACCAGCCCCCACCAACAACATGACAAGAGAGAGCTGGAATGAATATCATCATAACATACAGGATCATATAGGATCACTCAAAGCCAATATCTGATGCAGACAGACTTCACACTATGGCTGTGTTTCAGAAAATAAAATATCAGCCATGAGAATAAGTAGGGCTGGGACAATATTACATTACAATAACAATATTATGATTTTGAAAAATTGTGATGAAAGTGAAAAAGAAATAAAGAAAAGAAAGAAGGTTTTGGGACCTTTAATCCAATGTGTGGATACTTTCTGCTTTGCCTTCTACTAAATCTGCTTTCTTGCTCATAAACTCAACTCAACACTATTAATGCATAGCTCCTTATACGCAGAAGAGTTGATCCAAAGTACTTTAAGTATTCAATTATTGCTCAGATGAACAAATAATGCATGGCGCCTGAGAGAATGACAACAGATCCACCAAACTGTTTCCAAAATGAAATGAAAAGAAAATTGAATGTTCAATTTCAGACATCCTTGCTGTGAATCTCTGCACAGTTTTAGGCACGTGTCATGGCTGCCATATCTCTGACATGTGAGATAAGACTTGGATTAGATGTGACTGAATCCATAAAAGCTTTAATAATTGCTTTGTAAATCCTGTTTTCAGCGGTATGGCTGAAAAGCCTTAGGCGTTCAGAACACACTGTCAAGTACCAATTAATTAGGTTTAATTAGAGAAGCCAGTGAGATTACCTTGTATCTCACCATCTGCCCCCCCACCCCCAACCCCCCCAAAGGAAAGTCTAATTCTGCTAAACATAAACAGTAAAGGCAAATATTTGAATGTGTGAATGGATTATTGTTTTTTAATAGTGAGCATACACGCACACGTGCACACTTTGTTTTCTATGAAGAGCGATAAAACCTGTACATGTCTTACTTCTCTGTGTTTCACCATTTCCTGGTGAGGCCCCTGGTCTTTTGGCTCTGAGCCATGCTCGCTTGCCAGAGCATGTGTCTCCATGGCAGCCCATTGGGTTATACAGTAAACACCTAAAGGTAAATGAATGAACCTGTTTTAATAGGAATCCATTTCTCAACTTCTCAACCAGTCACATCCTGTTTCATAACATAGAACACCTTGTTCGCAGTTATGAGTAATGAGAATAATTCTGTTTGGTGTCTATGTGTGATCAGGTCTGTGTGTGGCATGCTACGCATATAATAATAGTAATTAAAGAAATGTTTTGATTGAGATTAATTTTTCACATAATAACAAAATTAAATAAAATATGTGGCTCACCTGTTAAGGATAAAGTATTACAACTATTAAAAAATATGAATAAATATATATAAAAGAGAAAAATTCTAAGATAAAAATATGAGCAGTTGCCAGTATTTTCCGAACCATGTTTTGAGGATGTTTCAAGGGGCCCTTATAGATTTTCCCTCACTGTAGTTGCTGCAATCTAAGTGTTCCCTGGTTATATAGGGAACAGACACAAAAATGATCTTTTATGATGTGCTTGGACAGTATACAATTCCATCATTAAGGTCACAAGAGTTAAATCTCATTAAGGTGACTTTAATGAGGTCCTTATGGTCTATGGATCTTTGCACTGACTGAAGTGGTTTGGTGCTGACTGTGGCGCAGTCGGGGTGAAGGTCTGCATTCCCAACACTGGTGCCACGATTTTCTTTGGTAAAGGGTGGCACATTCCGCCAGATCCATTCAAATCAGCGATGAGAAAGTGCCCCGAACTACAGGAACCTCTGAGTCATTCACAAGTGGGAATAAAGGGATCAAAGGATTGACCGTTAGCAAACTGGCTGCAGACTTTGGATTGGACCGGGTCACAAAAAAACTGCCAAGCCACAAATGTGTCAGCTTGGAAGATGATGTTCATTCCCACTCTCTTTTGTACAAGTGATTGATAGAATGAGCTCATGGATGTAATCAGCTAACATGTAGATTTATCTGCAGGTATAGCCATCAGGTTCAGAGCCAGGATCCACTGCTCCTACCCAGAGGCTCCTTTTTTTGAAATACTTGGACCATTGACAGAAGATTACAGGACGCGAGACACAGTGTAAGGCTTACATTTTAACCAACTCAGTTTCTTGATTCCCTCTCAGTCTGAACATATAAATGGTTTGAAAGCAAGGGGAATGTTAATGTGATATATATACATATTATCTGTCATCTATGTTATTAATTCCTGATTTACATCAGGCCTAATACCCAAATAAATCAACTAAACCTCCTGAATTAAAAAACCCTTTAGTGTGTCCGTGCTTTTGTCACAAGCTTACTCTTCACTCCATACTCTCCATATGCCCTTTCTGCCTGTCATATCAAGGCTCATTAGTTCATGTGGAGTGGATTCAAGTTCCAGTGTGTCCCGTGTCCTCAGAGGTTTTAAAAGGAAAACAGCTGGCGGCAACATTCCTCAATGAAACATCGCCATCTTGTGGCTTGTTTGCTTGAGGCAGGTTGTTGTAGCATATCTGGGCTATAAAGAGCTGTAGGTGCTATAAATGTCTTGGGAAGCTGTCAGGGTCGTCTGTTCTGGGTCTCCAGGCCAGATATCAACACGGGGGTAAACTGTGGGACACATGTTTTAAGGCGAATGAGCATAATTGGTCTAGTGATCAGCAGTTCCTGTGAACTGTGCATAATATAATGATGATGAAGATGGGATTATTGATTAATTTATGAACTATTGAGAAGGTGCAGGCTTTATTTTGTTTATAGTAGGGTGCACATAGAGATAATTTGACCTATAAAGGCATCAACAGAAGAATGTAGGCTACATCAGTCCATAATCTGGACCAAGGCCTTTGTTTTTTATTTAAGAAATGGAATTTAAAATCAAATTATCAGACTGCACATGTGCGCTTTAAATTGCACAGAGCCGTGGCCTTTGCAATGTAAAAGTCAAACGCACAGGCAGTTCTGAAGAATGGCATTTCATCTCTCATGCACTCTGTAGGGCAGCTCTCATGATGCTGCCAAGCAGCGCTGCGCTGTGTGAGAAATCAAAGCGCAGGCGTCGAGTCGGGAGGGAGCCTATCTTGCGCAGACTGGGTACTGTACATGGCCATTGATGCTGCTGGATAGATGTAGCCCCTGATGTAAATAAGAATGGCGAGGGCAGCGGGTCTAACGTGCAGCGTTATCTCTGCTTGACATCGGAACATTTTATGCCACCATCGGGGATTTTATAAAACGCGTGGCCCTTTTCTCGCTTTCATCTGAATCCTGCCTTCACAGCTCGCCCGATGATTTTCATTTGACACAAGAGCCAAAGCAGACGGGCGGCTTCTTCTAATAAACACTCGGGAAAAACAGGTCATTATGACCTTAGTATCCTCCAGTAAAAGAAAACCATCGGATTGCTTTTACGCGGCAGCATTCTGCTTGCATTTTTTGCTTTGGATTTCGTGTGCCGTGTCCGGAGAGGAGGATCATCAGTTCAGCGTTGAGGTAAGATAAATGGCCTTCCCTCCCTGGTTATCATAAATGACCGTGCTCTCTCCTCCACATCATCTGCCACCGCGTGAAAATCATATATATTGACACCCCACGCGATCCGTGGGCACAATTACCATAACGCATAACATGGATGCATTGTAAGCCTATCAGGACGACTCACGCATTTAACGGCGAAAACATCGAGCATTCCTCATTTGTAGAGTGCAATGAAATAGAAGGATGCTCATTTTATTACACTGCGGTCCGTGAGCTGAGCTGATCCAGCCCCACTGATGCCAAATGTGCAACCCAGATATGATTGCTCTTAGAGGTGGTTTAGTTTAACAAATATGCCCTACAGCGTCCTGTTTTCATTGCTAGATACACTTTGACAGGCCAACATAAAGTCAGACATGCTTTGGCAGCATCATAGTGTTGGAGGAGATTAAACCTTTACAGAAACAAGTTGCATAATAGGATTTGCTTTTTTGTACCTTTATTAATTGATGTCATTTTCATCCTCACCTCAGGCTCCCCTCCCACCACTCTGAAGAAATTAAATGCTGAGGCTGACAGTCACACACACACACATCATTATTCAATTTTATGGCTCAATGAAATCTGCCCGATATCTCTCTGATATCTCTCTGTGCCTTTCAACAAACACAACACACACAGGAAACACACCCACAGGAGAGAGGATGGGGGGGAAAAAAGGGATAAACAAGGCGTTTAGCTCAGCAGAAAGAGGGATAGAGGCAGAAGGGGGAGGGATGGACAGAGGAGACAGCTAGTCAGATTAGCTAGCTGGAGCATATTTCATAGGCTGTGTAGTAGATGTGGAGGCAGCTGGTTGGCGTGTGCACAGCTGTGTGCACCTCGAGTCTGGCAGTGACCCTTGGATGATGCTTGGCCTCACCTCTCCTCTCTGTATCAAGCCGCACTCTCCCTTTGTAGGGCAAGAGGAGGCAGGGCCAGGGTCCCGCACATGTACACTGACCTGCAGCCGCAAGACACAAACACTGACTAAGGTCACTGGAAGGGATTCAAATGCAAACAGTCGCACTGATGTCCACAGAGCCTCTGAGCAAATATGCGCAGACAAATTTAAACCTAAATCACTGCTGGATAGACCATTTCTGCAAACAAAAGACTATTTACATGCAAATTCCACCTCATTAAAGCTTCTAAACATTTCATTCACACTCTTAAATATAAATACATCCACAGCAGCTCATTCTCGGTGCAGCTTGCTTTCTTGCGATAAATAAAAAAGCATTGTAGCAGTGGGTTAGTCACTTTCCAGTCTTTTGTGAGGTGCAGAATGAATGACGCACAGAATTATTGATTTTTATGATGGGATTGGCCACTTACTAGGAAAAACTGGCTAGGGTAACTCAGCAAACAATACTTTGTCCTCATTAAACAGCTGCTGTTGTGGTGCCCTTGAGCAAGGTACCCCAACCACTGCAGTGGAGGAATGTCCGTGATCTGTGTTTGTACTAGACAGCCTCCCAGCATTAGGTGAAATATGAATGCTGAAAAAGAAAATACATTGAAGTAGTTACGCGTGGGACAAAATCTAATCAAACACAAAATAAAGGAGATTCAAGTTCATAGCTGCAGGTAAAGGGAAGACATGAAGAGAACAGAATAGACTCTTTTATTTATAGCCTTTCACTTTTGTTGTATTGCACAAAACACAGAAGCTCGGTTGATACATGTATATTATAGTAGATGATCAACTAATTTATTATCTGAACAAACTTGTAGAACGCAAATGCACAACATCCTGGATGTGATTTTAGCCTAGGGACTTTTTTGCGCATGTCATCTCCTACTCCATCTCCATGTCTTTCCTTTCTCTACTCAAGTTTTCTAATAAAGGCAAATAGACTAGAACAAGTCTTAAAATGGCCACATTATGAAGGTCCAAATCTTTCTCCCTCTCCCACTCGCAGGGATGGCTACAGAGGTATGGCTACCTTCCCCGCACAGAACCGGGAATGTCTGTCCTGCGCTCGGCCCAAACCATGCACTCAGCCATTGCTGCCATGCAGCGCGTCTATGGTCTCAATGTCACAGGGACACTGGATGAGAGAACCAAGGAGTGAGTATACACACATGCCGTGGACGATGAGCTTGTATGAACATAAGCTGAGGCGCACATGCACTTTCAGTAGGACATTGATGCAAATGCTGCGCTCATTCATTTAAAATGCAGAGGGAATTGCTATCAATATTTCAATGAATTAGTGAAGGACAGAAATAGAGATGTCACCTCGCCTGAAACAACCTCAGGTGAAGGTTTTTAACACTTTTCCTTCTTCTCATTTTGCATGATGATGCAGTGATATCACGCTGAGGTGAGAAATAATGTTTTGCCTATGTATTGTGTGTGTGTTCTGTACTTGTGATAATCTGATGTGGTATGAGTGAGAAAACATGAAACATGATTTCCTCTCAGCTCTCATTGAGATTTTTGATCCTACACTTGTATTGACTGTAGTTTGCAGTAGTTTAGCGATGTTTTGCACACTTTTGCTGCTGTGATCATCTGGCACCTGTCAGGAAGAGAACTACTGAGTTCACTTCAGTGCTTTATGTTGTCTTGTGATGGTGTTTACCTCTCAACTTTTAGTTATCAAACTCGAGTCACCTTTTCTCTTCTTTTTTCTTCTCCTCTTCTGTTCTTTTCTGTAAGTTGGATGCAAAAGCCTCGCTGTGGAGTTCCGGACAAATTTAAAAGTGCTTCGAGGTCACGGAAGCGGAGATACGCACTGACGGGACAGAAGTGGCAGCGTACACACATCACCTACAGGTGAGAGATAGTGGTGGCAGTTGTCATAGCAACCATTGAGTTTAGCAGTGCTTATTGTAGGGTTCACATATGCCAGTGTTAATTTTCTCAGCTCTCTTTCGTCTTTCATCTCCTCCTTTTTAACCACCTGGGATCACATGCTCTGTGTTGTCATAGAGACTGCAAATACGTCACATATATGGGGGCACGCACACATAAATATAGTCAACATCACACCATCCAAATTAACACATACATTTACCCATGTGGGCTGTGAGTATGTTTACTTTCCAGTGTATAAATAGCTTGCTGGCAAAATGAAAAATGGGATCAGGCAGTTTTTTTAATCCTCCATTTATTCTCTCCTTTTCATAAAACTAAAACAAACAGTTTTAGCTGAGTAGCATGAAGATTGACTGCTTTCCTCTCCCTCATATAAGACTGTTTGAAAATCCTGTGTGTAAATTGTCCGTAATCTCAGCAGAAATATTCAAACTCTCATCTTATCTCGCCTGATTAAGCTCCAGCTTTTAATAGGTTCTGAGGAGAACTGATAAACGGGTCTCTGGCACAACTGCAAATTGACAGGTTACAGCAGTAATAGACGATAACACTGTCAATTTATTCAAATCCTTCCTCCCTCCACGAATTTGAATTGATGAGCCACCTCTCCTAATGGAATGTCAATCAGTGCTGAGCCAGTGCTGCTGCTGACTGCACTTTATTCATGAAAATGAGTGGAGAGAGAGGGAGAAGATTTCCCATTCCTCTCTGCCTGCCAGGGACTGATAACGACTGCTGTGTTAAAAGTTCAGTAAAAGCTGCCGGGCTTGAGATAGTTGTGTCAAGTGCAACTTTTCCTTTTAGTGTCTCCTCATTTTGCAAAGTAAAAATGTTCACTCAAAATTAATGGGATAACGAGGCACAGGGTTGATGCAGTACGCATGCAGTATTTCCACTTCTGTCTTATGCATGCATTATGTATATGCATGATTGCTGCATCATTTACATCCATGTCTTTTACTACTATGAACACAGTATGTAAACTACAACCTCCCTCCACCTCTCGTTTTAATCCGTTTGCTCTTTTTCTTCCCACAGCATAAAAAATGTCACGCCAAAGGTGGGCCCCCGGGAGACTCACGATGCCATCCGCCGGGCGTTTGACGTGTGGCAGGGTGTGACTCCCCTACGCTTTGAGGCCGTTCCATACAGCGCCCTGGAGACTGGCAGGCGTGACGTGGACATCACCATCATCTTTGCTTCGGGTTTTCACGGCGACAGCTCACCCTTCGACGGGGAGGGGGGATTCCTCGCTCACGCCTATTTCCCGGGCCCAGGCATAGGAGGGGACACACACTTTGACTCAGATGAGCCCTGGACCCTGGGGAACCCCAACCATGATGGTAAGTCAAAGAAAAGAGAGAGAGAGAAAGTGTTAAGGAGTAGAGAGGAAAGCTAAAGCAAAGAGAAACTACTTCAGCAGAGCGGAAAGGAAATTATTATAGTAAGAGATTAAGATTAGGGAAGGAAAAAAAGTAGAGAAGCAGAATGCTGGCAGGTAGGTAAACAAATAAGGTGTGTGGAACGAGTGAGGAAAGCATTGAGAAACAGAAAGAAGAGCAGTCATCAGGAGAGACAGATAAGGACTGATGGAAAGCAAATACTGGAAATACAGATGGCTAGACAGGAGGGTAATATGACAGAGATGGTATCACAGGGCAGGGTATGAGGGATGCTTAACCAAAAACAAAGAATGCAGAGATGTCTTTGATCGGTCTGTGCTCTGTAAAGACGCATCACCCCATCTGTCAGGATTTTGATGTTTTTTTCTGCATAATAAGCTCTTCAGATGACAGGATAGAAAGCTCTGCTATTTTAAGACATTGGTTGCTGGCACATGATTATGGCTATTCTGTTTTTAGTGATTTTGATGTAGCTCAGTGGTACGCTTCAAGAGAGGTAAAACAGAAAACAGAAAAATGCCAGTTATATATCCATACAATTCATTTTATGTTATTATGGGCATATTAGATTAAGTTAGGTTATTATGGGTTATGTTTATATGCCATGTTATGCTGTGTTTTACTGTGTTATGTTATGTTATTATGGGTATATTAGGTTATATCCTGTCATGTTGAGTTGTGCTGTGGTGTTTTGTTATGCTGTCTTGTGTTTTAATGGGTATATTACATATTCCTTAGGTTTTAATGAGGTAGATTATGTTGTGTTACATCATGTTATGTTGTATTATTTATTATATTGTATAGTTATGTTATGATATGCTTAAATGAAGTCAGATTAGTTAGTATGGGTTATATTGTTGTGTAATGGGTGTATTAGGTTAAGTTATATAATGTTGTCATAGGTATATTAGGTTATGTTAGATTGGATTATTGAGTTATGTTGCATTGTATCATTTCATGTTATGTTATGTATAATTATAGATTAAGTTAGGTTAAGTTTATCTTATAACAAAGAACTGTGGCCCACATGACATATAATGTGGGCCACCCTGCCAATGTGGTTTCTGGCCGTGCACAGCAGCCCAAAGAGGGAGATAAGATGTGTTTCTTAACCGTGCATCCACACACACTTTAATTACCCTGGCTGCAGGGCGCCAGGCTTGTCAGAGCACCACCAGGCTACTTCGCTAATACCCATGTGCCATACGCTCACATTTTATCCTCCCATTAGTGGAAGGGGAGGGCAACAGCTCACATTGTGTTTGTTCTGGGAAACTGCTTGCCACCCATCAGCTCGCTGTCTCTCTTTTGTTCTCATACTCCAATGGTAATTGTCTCAGACTCCCAAGTCAAAGTCATGTTCACCCTTGCGCGGTGTCCCAGGGTTATCTATGTGGAGTGCTGAGGCTGATTCTGAAAAGCTCCTGTCTCAGCTTATGTGTCTCAAAAGCTGTTCAACCTTTAATGGGCTTTCACAGCAGTGCAATTGTAAATGTTGCATGTTGACATGTGCGCTAATGGTAGCTCCGGCCTGTCTCCTGGGAGTCCTTGTGGGACATTTTTGGTTAGGTGGAAGAGGCTGGTTGTGTTAGATAAATGGGGGAGGGGAAGGTGTAACCTTTTAGCTGCTGGCTGAGGGTCAGTGGTTGTTCTGTGTAGCGCTGCTGGCAGGAGTGGATATCATGTTTTAAAGGGCGACAATCACCTGGGGACAGCTTCAGTCACAAGCTGTACGTAAATGGTGTGCTTCTTTCTAAATCAGGTTGACACTATGAACTGAGTGCTGACGATAAACACTGACTGTGACATTTTTCATTTGTCTGTGTGTGTTTGACTATAATATGAATTAGACCCACAGTGTCTCCTTGCGCTATGCCGACATTTGTATATGTTCAGGTGCATTATATGAACGTTGTATTTTCACTGCTGTGTGGTGCCTCGGGCAGTAACGTGAGTGTGTGTCCCTCTGCTCTCTGTGAGCTGTAGCTCACATGTGGCTTATCTTCTATTATGGAAAAAAAAAGAAAAAGTGTTCTTGTTCTTACCTCCAGTAATCTTTACTTGCACTACACAGCACCGCATTAGCTAAATGGAAGTTGTGTCTGGACCAGAGGGCTACAAGCAATAATCATTTTCATTGTTGATTAATCAACTGGTTATTTGTCAATGAAGTTTTTATGGTCTATGTCTATAAAATGTCAAAAAATAATGACATAAGTTCTGACAATGCAAAGTAATGTCTTAAAATTTCTCAACTGGAACAGTCAAAAACCCAAAGGTTCATTTATGGTGACATAAAGCTGCAAATTCTCATATGTAAGACCGTGGAACAAGCAAATATTCAGCATTCTCTGCTTTATAAATGATTTAATTGGACTGATTTTCTGAATACCTGAGAAAAGGAGAGAAGGTTAATTTCAAGGTGCCTATGCATACTCCGACATGTCTTATCATTTATAGAATATACAAGTAATTGTAAAAATGCCCATATTAATCAGATTTTTTGATGTGTATCTGTGCTTATTACTGTCTGTTTCTGGTGTCCATGAGTGTATCTGTGCATGTGTTTACTTCTTCTGTTTTCATCACGACACACATATACT